CGCGCTTTATGGCACTACCCTTTCCCGAAGGCAAAGCAGCCTCGCGGCAGGACTCCCAGGAGGAGAGGAGCACCCCTGGGAGCGTTGCTTTCCTTAAAGCTCTGGATTATTTTTAACTCAATGTGCCCGAATTATTGGTATTTTTTTTGCCTCTTTGCATACCAGGGTTCGCAGGCCGGGCTGAGCTCCCTGCAGTGAAACGGGGAGCTGGGGCTCACGGCCGCCCCGCGTCACCCCGGCCCCTCGCTCGTCTCCTGGGGTCTGTGCGGCCGCCCCGAGCCCTGCGCTCCGCAGCACGCTCCTGCGCCTCCCGCTTCCCTGCCCAACGCTCCGGGGCGTCCGGGACATCCCGCTGGAGGCCGCGCTCCGCAGGCAGCAGATCCCGCCACCCCATGGCAGCAGATCTCACATCCCGCCCATGAGGCTTTTCCCTACTGCAGCAAAGACCCAGATTCCCGGATTTTGCTTCCAACCTGCCCCCAGGTCCTCTGGGGTGAACGGGCCCCGCACCCGGGCCCTTTCCCCTTGCTTTTCCACTTCAGCTTTTCCCACAAGGCCAAACAGTTGCGGGATTCAGGAAAACACACGCGCTGCTCTCCACAGCCCTTTCCCAGTTGGCTGGTCCTGGTGTCCGTGTGCTCGCAGGGCGCTCCTCGCTCTTCTCACCGCGGCTCCGGGGCCGCCGCCGCCTTCGCGATGGCTCCGGAGGCCGGGAAGAGGGAGAGGCCGGTGGCCGCTCCGACTTCATGACATGCAGCCTGCTGCAAACCCTGCAGACACACACGTGTGCACACGCATGGACATGCTTGGACACGCGTGCACTTACCTGCTCCTCGTGTCCCCAGCACCGCGTGGGGCTCAGCGCAGGCCACGACAGCGCAGCGTTTCTGCAGGCTTTTCACCCCAAAAAGGTGAAAAGGGCCGCCCTCCAAACCCCAGCAAAACCAGGGCACAAGCACCCGTTCTGACCGCGCGCAAACACGGATCCTGGCCTGATTTGACCCAATTCCCCCTGCTCGAGAGGGAGAGACTCCTTATCCAGGGAAGGCCAATGCGAACGGTTAGAGCTAAATAAATGAAGGAGCTGCCGCCCGCCCGCCTGGCTCAACGGGAGGGAATTTGTCTCACTTTAGAAGAAGGACCTGGAGGGATCGGTCACGTCGGCTCATTCATTGCGCCGTTATCTGCCAGCCAGGTTGTGACATCAGAGCAATTAAGACAAACTTTAGTCTATAAGTTCATGCCTGCAACCTCTACACATCAGCAGAAGACAAATGATCCCTCCGAGGAAGGAAACCAAGTATTTTCCGGACTACTTCCAAAGTAATATTTAGGATTTGCAGTGGTTCAGGAGAATTTTTTCACTGCAAGGGGTTTTAACTTGCTTTAACTCAGCTTTTTTTAACAACATTTTGATTTCTAATAAAAACAAACAAGCAAAAAACCCCAAGCAAACAACCCCCTACACCATCCCCCCCAAAAAGCCCCACAAATGCTTAATTAGTTGACCTAAAACTCAGTTCATACCTTGAACCTGTCTGGGATTTGGTGCCCAGGGACTTCCCTGATGCCACCAGAGCCAACGTGTCTATTAGGGAAGCGCCGCCCCTCGCCTCCCTCCACCACGGCCAAGTCCAGACATTTATTATCATTATTATTATTATTATTTAAACAAACAGACTTTCAGACAAGCATTTTGTGCTGCTCGGCTTCTTGACAAGTCCTCAAGGGCGAGCAGAGCAAGAGACAAACAGCAGTGAAAAAATACACAGGAGCCATGAAATACACAATATATTCAATAACCAAAAATAGAGCTATAAAATACTTGCTTTGAGGCTGTGTACAGTTAAACCGAGGAGTATCTGAAGGAACTAAATTGCTCAGCAATGAAAGAAACATGTGAAGAAAATTCCTTAATATGAGGAGGGGGGAAAGGGCAGCAACGTAAAGGTTTTGTTGGTGCTTCTATAAAATATTTGTTAGCAAAATATGATCTGGAGTGACAGACTGGGGCGCGGGGTGGTGCTGCCGGAGCCGTGTGTCCCGTGTCCGTGTGTCCCGTGTCCGTGTGTCCCGTGTCCGTGTGTCCGGTGTCCGCGCTCACTGCGCGCCCTGGCTCGCTCGCCGCTCCTCCAGCATCCTGCACACCCACATGGACACGACCTCGGCGTTGCCGTCGTTGTACTGCACGATGAAGGGGTGGCCCTGCAGACAAACAACCCCAAAATTAGTACGGAACTTTTATTTTCCCAAGAAAAGCATCGGAATACCTTGTGACCACCATCGCACAAGGGCAGCAGCAGCCTGCTCCATGCAGCAGACTTTCTCCAGGATCTGTGTGATCCACATACTCCGTTCAGACAGCTTTACTGAGCCTGCAGCCTGGCACTCCTGGAAAACACAGTTTTTATGTTCTACTCGTTCACAATGTTTTGGTCCAGCTCCTTTCTAGCATGACCTGCCAGGCTGCTCAACTATGCGGTATTTTGGTAGAAAGATATTCCAACAAATACACTTCTCCACCAGTTTCCTTGTCAAGGTTTGTGGTCTCATAGTTTTAAGTCTTCTCTCCCCCCTTGTGCAGCCCTTTCTCGTTGATGAGCACTGCCCTCTTCTCTGGGCATCGAAGAGTGACCGTGTTCACAGCCCGACCTGCTCCGTCCATGGGTGAGACCCAACCGTGCCCTTCGGCACGTGGAAACACCCCTGGTGTGAGCGCTCACTCACACCCGTGTCCTTGACTTGTGGTGGGGGAAACCTCACACATCCCTCAGCCCTTAATGAGGGATGTAGCCCTCGTGGCCAAGAAGGCCAATGGGATCCTGGGGTGCGTTAAGCAGAGCGTCTCCAGCAGGACCAGGGCGGGGATCC